CCCTTGCGGTGCACCATTGGCTGCGGCGCTCGGTTCCGCCTGGTGCGTGCCGGTGCTCTGCGTGCTGGTGCTTGGCGCTTACGTCAGCCAGGGCTGGACCTAGGCCGCAGCCGGGCAGGGAGGCCCTCGGACAGCCGCTCTGTGCTTACCTGGTTGACGGCGCTTTGCTAGTGCTGGTACTGGTCCACCAGCCTCCCGTGTGGGCCAGCGCGAGGTGCTTCGAGGTCAAACGCGACTACCCACTATGACACCGGGCCTTGCCATCCCTGGATAGTCCCTCAGCTACCTCCAGCCGCGCGATGGCAGGGTGCTTGGTCCTAACTGGGGTCCTGGGCTGCCTGCAGAGGCTGCAAGTGTTGAAGATCACTGAAGGTCTGGGCCTCTCATGGTGACAGCTGGTTGCCCTTGGATGACTTCAGAAGACATTTCTGCCAAATTCGGCTGCGGAGCCGCATCCCGACTGTGCAGCTTGTGGGCAGTGGCCCACTGCGACTGACTTGCAGAACTGCAAATAAAGCCATCTGTGGATCCTCAACCACTGATAAGTGCCACTCCCTGTTGTTGCTGAGCCCAGAAGAGCGAGTTTTTGTCACCGACTATACCGCAATAACCGATTTTCGGATTCTGAGTCGTGCCACCCCATCAGACCTCAAGTGAAAGTGGACATATGTTGTTTGCCTCATGCCCTACACATCCCTTTGAAACGTTTGGAAACGAGATGTTTTTTGTTTGTTTGTTTGTTTGTTTGTTTGTTTAATCTCTATTGTTGAATGTATTACAGATGTTTCTCATTTTCCCCCATTAACCCCCTCCTCCCCACTACTGCCCCCCTCCCGCCTTTTCCCACACTATTATCTGGGTCCATTGCTTATGCATATAAGTTCTTTGATTTATTTCTTCCCACCCCCCAACCCCTTTCCCTTTGAGGTTTGTCAGTCTAGCAATGAATTTGTACTTCTTAAAACCTTCACCTATTTCACCCATTCCCCCAACCCCCCTTCCATCTGGCAACCAACAAAATGTTCTCTGTATCAATGAGAATGTTTCTGTTCTGCTATTTCATTTTGTTTGTAGTTTCCATTGTCGATAGATATGTATTCATTGCCATTTTGTTTGTTCATATATTTTATCTTTTTCTTCAAAAAGACCCTTTATCGTTTCATATAATAACAGTTTGGTGGTGATGAACTCCTTTAACTTTTTCTTGACTGGGAAAGTCTTTAAATGGCCATTGATTCTAAATGACAGCTTTGCAGTATAGAGTAATCTTGGTTGTAGGTTCTTGCTTTTCATCACTCTGAATATTTCTTGCCACTTCCTTCTGGCCTACAAATTTTCTTTTGAGAAATCATCTGACAGCTTTATGGGAACTTCCTTGTAGGTAACTTACTGCTTTTCTCCTGCTGCTTTTAAGATTCTCTCTTTGTCTTGAACCTTTTGCATTTTGATGATGATGTGTCTTGGTGTGGGCCTCTTGGGGTTCATCTTGTTTGGGACTCTCTGTGCTTCCTGGACTTATATGTCTGTTTCCTTCACCAAGTTAGGAAAGTTTTCTGCCATTATTGTTTCAAACAGGTTTTCAATTTCTTATTCTCTCTCTTTTCCTTCTGGCACCCCTAAGATGCGAATGTTGGCACGCTTGAAGTTGTCCCAGAGGCTCCTTATACTATCCTCATTTTTTTGGATTCATTTTTCTTTTTGCTGTTCTGATTGGACGTTTTTTGCTTCCTTATATTCCAAATCAACAGTTTGCTTCTTGGATTTACGTACTCTACTATTGAATCTGTGTAAATTATTCTTTATTTCAGTTAATGCCTCCTTCATTTCTGACTGTGCATCCATGATTTCTGACTGGTCCTTTTTTATGCTCTTGAGGCCCTCCCTAAGTTCACCGAGGTTCTCACTAAGTTCATTGAGCATCCTTCTAAGCAGTATTTTGAACTCAGCAACTGTTAGGTTGCTTATCTCCATTTCACTTAGTTCTTTTCTTGGGGTTTTGTTCTGTTCTTTCATTTGGGACCTGTTTCTTTGTCTCCTCATTTTGGCTGCCTCCCTGTGTTTGTTTCTATGTATTACTTAACGAGAAGTATGGGGCTATCTGAGACCAGATGCTGCTTGTTTGAAAGAATTTAGGAAAACCTGAAGCAGGATCCAAGACAGGCCAATCCTATGGTTAAGCAACTGGCAACAGCTTGGGTGGGCCTGAAAGTTGGGTGGGGCGGGGCCTCAGGTAATCACCAGGGTGAAGCTACCAGTGTGAGCCAGGTTTCTGGAGTCCCAGATATGGTGGCTGTCTGCTGCCCCAGGGAAGGGATCACCAAAGGAACAAAGGCCTCTGACAGCATGTTTGTCCTGGAGAAAGCCCCCTCTCCGGCCCTCGCTCCAGTGCCAAACAGCTCATTTGTTCCCTGTATGTCTCTGGCGCCCCTCAAGCTGCCTCCCCTCCAAGCTTAGAGGGAGTGAGTCCAATAAGTCCGTGCGCGGGCCTTTTAAGGAGCTGCCTGTGGCTCCAGTCACGTCAGCTTCCCTGAGCCTCAGTTCCCGCTGGTTTTTCCAGCCAAAAGTTATGGGGACTTCTCTTCCTGGCACCGGAATCCTGAGCAGGGCACCTGGTGTGGGATGGGGACCCCTCAGTCCTCAGGGAGGACCTTCCCAGCCAAGGTATCCTCCTGATTGTTATCTGCCACACGTGGGTGTGGGACCAGCCCGTCGCGCCTCCCATCCCTCCTACCAGTCTTGATGCAGCTTCTTCTTTAATTTTGTAGTTGTAGGCCTTCCATTCAGCTTGATTTCAGGCGGTTTTGAATGATGGTTGTTCTGTAGTTTAGTTGTAACTTTGATGTGGTTGTGGGAGGATGTGATACCACGTTTACCTATGCTGCCATCCTGACCGGAAGTCTTTTACTGTGTTTTTAATGTCAATATTTTATAAATTTTACAGTAACTTAGTGACTTCTGCTGGCTTACTTTGAAATATTATATTTGTGATGATTTTGAAATATGACTACAAACACTTTGACAATCTTCCCAACCCATCTCCTCCTATTGAACTTTGGCAGGTCTTGTAGCTGTCTCAACAAAAAGCATGAAGTGAAAGCGATGTTAACTTTTAAGGCTTTAATAGAAAAGGCAATGCATTCTATCTCTCTTTTAGTCTCTCTCATCCTTTCTCTCCATCTGGGGAATTTATACCATCTCAAAGCTAGATGCTCAAATTTAGCACAAGAGAGAGGAGCAACAGCAAAAAGGGCAAGTAGTGTCCTGGTTCAGACAAGAGCCCAGAGCAGAAAGAGAAAGCAAGAGAGTGAGCCACATACTAGAATTTTTCAGTGCTGTACTTGGAATGGCAGAGTATTCTGGTCTAGTCTCCTCTTGTTTTATCAAATGTTTGTTCATGTGCTTCAGTCAGTAACTGCCCAAATTATTGGTAATCAGGCACTGTACTACATGAAGATATTTGTGGCTAGAATTCTTCCTCACATTGAAAGTTTTCAATGCTCTTTGGGTGCTCCCCTGTTTCTGCTTAGCAAAGTTGTGAATGCCATTCGGTTTCAAAATATAACTGATTGGCATTCAAAGTATCAGGGAGGAAGCCTCATCTATTTCCTATTGTCAGCAAAATCATTACTGATAAGCTCTTCAACCTTCTGCTGCAAGCTATTTTCCTCATCCAGGGAACGTTTGTGAGTGTCTTTCCCATCCATCTTGTTGGTCTGCTGGTTAGTCCCTGCATATGTCCCTTCTCCACTATCTATACTGCTTTGAATATTTTTGGTTCAATGAAAGAATTGAAATGCACCAGGAGTTGTCATACATAGGAAGTGGCCTTACTACTTTGAATTTAGTTTGCCCTTGGCTTTCCTCAAGCAGTGTAGTCCTCATACATTATCAGTGGCTGCCTCTTCTCTATCCTCTTTCCTTTATTCATGACCAGTGCCAAAGCAAAGACCACTGAATGAGCCTCTTCTCCTTGATGGTTTTCTTCAGCAACAGAATCTTCCACAAGACAGTCTACCTGCAGTCTTCCCCAAGGGACTCAACCTCTGCAAAGAAGTTTTCTTCTCCACATCCATCGCCTGCCAAACTGAAGGCATCTGCAGGCCCCTGAGTCACCTGCCATGACCCGTCCCGCAGGTCGATCAACGAGGACCCTAGAGGGGGAGTGAGGATGAGGTGGGACAAGAGACACGAGAAATGGAGACAAGACAGGAGTCTGATCAAGTCTCAACTTTATTGCAGATAGGTAACAGATTATATACTTGTGGGAAAAGTCAGGCAGGGGAGGGAGGAAAAGGGTACATGAGCAGAGAAAACAATTCTCAATTATCAAAAGCTTTTACTGCTTCAACACCAACCAGGGGCCTTATCTCAGGAATGCTCCTCAAAGCGATACTTCAAGGACCTTCAGGCAGTAAACTGCAAGCAGGCAAACAGATTCTGCACGTACAGCCAACTTATTCTTAAAGGGCCCTCGCTTGACCCCAACACTGCCATCCAGAGGGGATGAGTGGGTTTGGAAGGAGGTATTACAGCTCTTTCCTGTTCATCCCCCACCCCCACACCCCCCCACACACACCATCACCACCACCAAGGAAGGCAGGACCCATTCTGCCAAGGGCCTGCTGCATATTCTCTTCTCTCTGAGGAATTGGGATTTTTGTCTCTGGTGCATATAAGGCACAATCCTCCTGGCACCAGTAAGTGGATTTTTAACCTGTAAGTCTGAAAGAACCACAGGATTTTCTGCAGCTCTTTACTACCATTTGCCAGTCCCTATGCCTGGATTGGTTCGGATACTTTTTTCCCCTGTACTATTTACCACCCCACCTCACTTTCCAGCCTTCCACCACCCTTGGATGAATGGATTTTGTAATTCAAGCTGTTGTATTTTGTGGACCTGTCATTTTTGTTGTTCTCTGTGAAGCACATACATTGGATGTGCGAGGTAAAAGAGTATCTCAGTTTTTCCTGGTCACTCCCTTTATAGCCATCACTGTCTTGTTGCTTGTAGCTCAGTTTAGGTTCTGGTCTCTCTTGCTCCCCTACAAAAAACAAACAAACAAAAAAAGCTAGAAGACATGGAACAGGAGGAAAGACCTCACAGCCATATCTGCTGGGTTTTGAAGAGTGATTTTTCTTCCCCTTCAAGGGGAAAAGTTTTTTCAACTAGAACATTTGAAGTTGCCCAACTTCAGGGAAGTACCAGTTTTGGATAAGTGCTACTACAACACAGAATGTGCAGCCCCCACCAAGTCAAAGGAATATTGGGTGCTGCAAATAGGGACTGAAAGGGTAAACTTATTAAATCCATTAAACCTGATTTGGGTTACTCTTTTCCTGCCATTTTTTTTTTTTTTTTTTTTTTTAATCCTCACCCGAGGACATTTTTCCATTTCTTGTTCAGGTAGAGTGGGAGGGAGAGAGAGGACCAGAGAGAGAGAGAGAGAAACATCGATGTGAAAGGAACACATCGAGTGGCTGCCACCCGCACGACTGACCAGAGCTGGGGACAAACTGCAACCGAGGTACATGCCCTTAGCGGAAACTGAACCCAGGTCTCTCAGGACCGCAGGCCGATGCTTTAACTGCTGAGCCAAACCGGCCAGGGCTTTTCCTGCCATTTTAAAGAGACTAAATATGAGGGAAGGGAGAAGATGTCAAAACACTTGTACAATTTTGAAATGTCACAATTAAACATAAGCTAGTTTCCATAAATAAATAAACAAATACATGTTGTGTGTGTATCTTCATGTGGAATCTAATAACTATGATAAGGATGGTATGAGATGTTTTTGTGTCGTCATCATCGTCTAACTATTCATCTACCTTTTGCTTTTTCCTCTTATGATCCAAATGCTACCGTTGTTTTTCATTTCAGGTGGAAGAGTTATATTTTAACTTCCTGATTGATTTGTCCTTGGATATAAGCATGAGCCATAACAGAAGGGATCAGCGATTTGAAAAGAAGCATATGTTCCACCAGGATGTCTATGAAATGGATTTCAGTTCTTCTGCTGCTACAGCTGAGTTGTTACTTTAGCCCTGGGGGTTGTGGAAGGGTGCTGGTGTGGCCCACAGAATACAGCCACTGGATGAATATGAAGACAATCCTGGATGAACTTGTCCAGAGAGGTCATGAAGTGGTTGTTCTGGTGTCTTCAGCTTCGATTCTTATTGATCCCAACAAAGCATCTGCTATTAAATTTGAGATTTTCCCTTCATCTTTTACAAAAGATGATATGGAATTTTTTTTCATGAAGCTGATCAATAGATGGACAGACCTGCAAAAAGATACATTTGGGGGCCTTTTTTTACATATTCAAGAAATGTTACGGGAAGGTTCTGACTTGGTTGAAAAGCTCTGTAGAGATGTTGTTTTGAATAGGAAATTTATGAAAAAACTACAGGAATCAAGGTTTGACGTCGTTCTTGCAGATGCTGTTGGACCCTGTGGTGAGGTGCTGGCTGAGCTACTTAACATACCTTTTGTGTACAGTCTCCGCTTCTCTCCTGGCAACAACATTGAAAAGTATAGTGGTGGACTTCCTTTCCCTCCATCCTATGTGCCTGTCATCATGTCAGAATTAAGTGATCAAATGACATTCATGGAGAGGGTAAAAAATATGATATACGTGCTCTATTTTGACTTTTGGCTCGAAACATATAATCAGAAGAAGTGGGATCAGTTTCTCAACGAAGTACTCGGTAAGCCATGTTTTTACTTGATAGCATGAAGTCCTAAGTTTCCTAGTGACTTGGAAGGTGCGTTTGCATAAATATTAAGTGAGCAGAATTTGTCTTTTAAAAGTGAAATGATTGAATAATAATATATAATGATCTTTAAATCTCACAAATAATATAGATAAATGCTTAAATTATAAGGTTAATTTGAACCCTGTGATCCACTAGTATAGGATACTTCAGGAAGTCAGAGACCCCAACTTGAAGCACTGAGGAGTTCTTTAAGCAATTACATATTTATTCTTTGCTTGTAATAGGCTTTATTTTATAGAAGAGCTTTAGGTCCACAGCAATATTAAGTAGAGATTTCCCTTATATACCCTGCCTCCTCTATTGTCAGCATCCCCTACCAGAGAACTATGTTTGTTACAATTGATGAAAATATATTGACATATTATCTCAAGTACATAGTTTATATTAGGGATTGCTCTGGGTGTTATATATTCTGTGATTTTGGACAAATGTATAATGTCATGTACCCACCATTATAATATTGTACAGAGTAGCTTAACTACCCTAAAAATCTTCTATGTTCTGCCCAGTTATTCTACACATCAATTTTACTATAATTTTTTTCATCTTCAATAAAGGCATTAGAAATTTCACTAAATATCTTCTTCAAAGCACAAATGTGGATTGAAGTGTTTTCATATTTCCAGCACAATGTCTGTGGAGCACTGAGAAAATTGTTTCCACTTGTTTCTCTAAGTTTTTTTATTGAAAAATTAAATTGTTTTGCCATATTATCTGAAGGAGTACTTGACAATGGAGAGATATAATGGCTCTATCTCAGATTAAGGAACCTATAATTCAAAGTTTCTAATGATTACAGTTTTTTCACTAAGTGCTTATAAATCATCTGTTGTAAGGACCTAAAATCTAACTGATGCATGGATAATCAAGTTATATGTCTATATTTTTTAAAACTATATTTCTCCATTAAAGACAAAATGAGCTAAATTAAAGAATGAACACATCTATTTTCATACTTTTAAAAAAATTTCCAGCTGTTTTTGTAAATATTTTTATTTAATACACAAATATTATTAAGCTCCTAACATGAATCAAATGCAATAATAGCCATATTCTAAAAAACCTTACAGTTTACTTATAAAATCTTGAAACAAGGGAATAGCTTGCTAAATTGTAGAATCTAGACTCAGTGTTCTAGGGGAAGGCATTTCCATGTGTATGGTAAGGTTAATTGAGGAGTTGAAATCACTCTTTACATTTGCATTTGTTAATTTTGAAGCTTTACAGAGTAAATAAATGCAGATTTAATTTTTTAGTGCATAGACAAATAATTTTTTATGATTCTGAATGTACTGATGTGACATTAGAGATAAAAGTCTATATATAACGTGTGTGTGTGTGTGCGCGTGCGTGCACGCATGTACATTTTCAAACCAATCACTTTTAAACATCTTTGGCTACATTACTCCAAGTTCTTTGCAGAAAATTATGTGGTAAATTCACATTACACTACTCTAATTTCCTCTATCTTCTGTTTGCTTGTATCCCTTCAGGAAGACCCACTACATTATTTGAGTTAATGAGTAAAGCTGACATATGGCTCATTCGAACCTATTGGGATTTTGAATTTCCTCGTCCACTCTTGCCAAATTTTGAATTTGTTGGAGGCCTCCACTGCAAGCCTGCCAAGCCTCTACCTAAGGTTAACCTATTCATGTTTGTTTTACTCTGCACTTTCATTAGGAATGATTCTGTGTTCTTCACTAAGAACGTTTGATTACACTGCAAGAGATATGGGAATCTGGGTAAAGTGAACTGCCAATAAGAAACTGATATATTCTGTACTCTTTCAAAAATCTGAATGTCATTATCATTACATAATAAAGAATTATACTTGGGAGACTTTAGAAATAGGGTCAGTTAAACTGAGGTCTTCCTTATCCAACACATAAGAAAGAGCCATTCATTCATTCAAAGAATATTCTTAGTGACTAGCATAGTTCAGAGATAAGTGCTGAGTACACAGAGAAACAGTGTAAACACAATTTCTACCCATAGATACCTGGAATTCCACTTGGAAAGGCAGAATATAAGTAATGAAAACAATGTGAAGAGTATTATAATAAGGAAAGACCACAATGCTAGAGAATATCCAACAGGGATTATAGAAAATATTTCATAGCAATGATAATTAAGTGGGACCTGAAGGATGTGGAGTAATAGCAGGAAGGAATGGGGGAAAAGAGGAAGACACAAAAAGTAAAGCAGAAAAAATAATGACAATTCCCAAGACGTCCAAGTGCAGTGTATCAGGAAGAGGCTGAAAAACGAGGCAGATGATGCTGCAGAAGTAAGTTAGAGATTCGTAATTATAGGGATTTTGAAGCATTTGGGAGTAATGAAAAGAAAAAAGGGGGGGGGGGTATAAAGAAAGATAAATGATCAGATTTCCTTTTTTTAAAAAAGCCCTCAAGATATAGTCACTGGATTGACTTGCACAGAGACAAGAGTGGAAAGGCAAAGAGGAGGCTATTGCAAGAGTTCAGGCAACAAATAATGGAAAAGTAGACATTAAAGATGTGACAACACCTATCCTCATCATTATAATATCAATTTCATTCAGTAGAAATAAATAGTTAATAAAAATAAAATAATGAAAATGTCTTTGGCACATAATGACACAGAAGTAATATTAACTATTGTTACTATTGTTATTTCTTTTACTGTTAAGATTATTGGCCTAGCCAGGTAGCTCAGTTGGTTAGAGAAGTGTCTCGATGTGCCAAGGCTGAGGGTTCAATCCCAGTCAGGGAACATGCAGGAAGCAGCTAATAAGCACATGAATAAGTAGAAAAACAAATCTCTCTCTCTCTCTCTCTCTCTCTCTCTTTCTCTCTCTCTCTCTCTCCATTTCCTTTTCCTCTCTCTCTCAAATCAATAAATTTAAAAAAAGAATACTATTAATAACCTAATATGTGTCAGCCTATAATTTCTCATGTAATAAGAATTGGTTTTCAGTAGATCAAGATTATATTTTTCTATCAAAGTCATAGAGAACATATCCTGTGAAGTACTTAAAAGTAAATGTATATATAATTTGGTAATCAGATGAGCATGTTGAAATACTGCAAAATTTTTGTGAGGGTTGTGGCTCTTCACAAGTACTTTAGCTTTAAGAGAAGACCATTCCTTAACAATATGAATGTGTACCCCAAAAACACCAGCAGCCAAACCCAATGTTTACTCGCCTTCAGTATAGTATTTAAACAATTATTGATTTAAGACCCCAGAAATTTGAGGTCTTTAGAGCATAAAAGAGATTTGCTTATTACAGCAGGTATTTTCTGCCATGCACCAAGCCTGTACACAATCTCAGAAAAATTTAGAAAAAAAAAGAAAAGATCTCTTAGTGAAAATGGTTGTTGCCGTTTGTAGCAAGATAATAATCAAAGACAAAATATACACTGCATATAAAATAATGACCATAAATTATGTATATTTAATAAAGTCCAAATAGTCTCTACCACTTCTATCTGAAAGCTGTTTATAGTGTAAAAATACAAAGAATTCTGTTAGTATAATATATTCTTAAGAGAGAAAGAATCTATATGTTTTAAGTTGATACCATATCTTTAAGACATAAGTAGAAAGCATCATCCTTTACTAAACTAGTAAATAATCTATTAGAAGATCCTTCTCTACCATTTGATAAGCAGAACATAAAACCAATCTTATTAAATGGTTAATGCAATATCTCTTTTGATTGCAAATTATTTACACTGTATGTGGAAATTATTTACACTGAAAGTGGAAACTTTCAGAAGGGTACAGGCTGAGGTAAGATTAGTTCTATTCAAACTAAACCTGTCTTAAAAAATGTACCCCTTCACGTTAAGGGACAGTGACAAATGTCAGTCAGTAGGAATGGAAAATGAGGATGAGGAGAGCAGGGCAAGGAAAAGAATGAATAGAAATATAATTATAATAATTAGTAATAGTAGCCATTGTTATTAAGTTGCAAAAACAAGACTTGAATCCTAGTCAATGATTTGTGAAGCATATACTTATTGTTTATTATATAAAGTAAATTGTTCCTCCAAACTACTTGTTTTACATTAATTATCAGGACCCCAGATAATTTCTGTACTTTCCTTTTAAGAAATAAAAATCTGCCCTGGCCGGTTTGGCTCAGCGGTTAGAGCGTCGGCCTGCGGTCTGGAGAGACCCGGGTTCGGTTCCCGCTAAGGGCATGTACGTCGGTTGCAGTTTGTCCCCGGCCCTGGTTGGTCGTGCGGGTGGCAGCCACTCGATGTGTCCCTTCACGTCGATGTTTCTGTCTCTCTCTCCCTTCCTCTCTCTCCCTCCCACTCTATCTGTACAAAAAATGGAAAAATATCCTCAGGTGAGGATAAAAAAAAAAAAGAGAGAATAAAAAAGCAAAATGTTTAAAAAAAAAAAAAAAAAAGAAATAAAAATCTGACAAATTGCAACAAGATTCGTAAAAATGTTTATAGACTTTGACTTCATAATATACTCTTATGAAACTATACAAAGAAAAATAACCAAGGTGTAAAATGCATACAAATTTTACAACGAGAATATACCTGGATGGAGAGTAGGTATGAATCTTACTTCTTTTTTTATTCTTTTTCATACTTTTCCAGATGTCCAATCCAGGGGCATGTGCTATTTTTATAAGGATGTCACAGAATGAGAATGACAGTCCATGTCAGTGATTAATCTAGAAAGAGAGGCTATATTATATTATTATAGTATATCAAGAACCATCTTTCACAGCACAGCAAAAGAAGGCTATTGGCAGAGAGCTAATGAGACAAAACACTGAACATGGTATATTAACGTATATTTTGCATGTTGTGTGTATTGTGCACTACATTCTTACAATAAAGCTAAAGAAAACAAAATTATAAGGAAAATACATTTAGAATATTTATTGAAAAAATCCATAAATAAGTGGACCCACATAGCTTATTCCTATGTTGTTCAAGGGTCAACTGTACAGTTTGAACTGAACTATTCAAGAGGGTGACCAGACCTCTGCTGCAGAAAACCCAGCTGTACTTCTCCTGCTGTGGGGCAGGTGCTCCCCGGGGAACTCAGAGAGGTGATGATAAGGGCCCCTCACAGCCAGTTACACATAGCACATTCTACTAGGACATCCATTTTACAATAAAAGCAAAAGGTGTCATACATAAACAAGACATAAATATGGTCACTCAAATGAGTAATTATATAAGTATATTTCTGAATTACAAATAGGAATCTTAGGGCTATATCATGGAAACTCTAAACAGAAAAACCAGAATCATGAATGACAACAACCCTTAACCTCCAGTCTTTAATGATTTATTTATTTTTTTAATTAATTAATTTATTTTTTTACAGATGTTTCTTCTTTTCCCCCATTGGTTTCCCCTTCCCTCTCCCTCCCCACCCTGTACCCAGCTTTGTTGTCCATGTCCATTGTTCATGCATACACGCATATAAGTTCTGTGGTTTATCACTCCCCCACCATCCCCTTTTCTGAGGATTATCACTCTGTACCCTGCTTCCACGTCTCTGGGACTACCCATTCCTCAGACTGTTATGTTCATTATATTCCACAAATAAGTGAGATCATATGATACTTGTCTTTCTCTGTTTGGCTTATTTCGCTTAGGATAATACTTTCCAGGTCCCTCCATGTTTGATGATAGATTTAGAAGGAGAACTTGGGAAATGCTGACAAGGGTTAAAGTGAGGTCATAATATATTTTTTTTCTCATAGTCAAAGAAATAAATTACTAATGACAAAAGAAAAATAATTCTTTAAAAAACCTGCCAGGAATAAACACAAGTATTTTAATACAACTATAACAAATAATTAAAGGTGAGCTAATATCCTCCTATTTGACCTGCTTCCAAAAATCTATACTAGTAATTAATAACATTATAAATAAAGAATTTGAATTTAATATAGTCTAAGGGCATTTTCTCCTCAATACTATGTACTGGCTCTATTTCATTTTTTGTACACACACATTTGCACAATAGACAAAATAAAGGAAATGAGACTTATATCAACTATATACTCCCAAAAGAAATGAGATTAAATCTGTTATAAACAGCTACTGATGAACAAGGAGTGGAGTTTATTTAAAATATTAAATATAGAATAGCTATTTGGTCCAACCTTCCACTTATGGTTATATATCCAAAGGAACTGAAATTGGGATCCGGATAAGACATTTGAACACCCACCTTCACAGCAGCATTATTCACAGGAGCCAAAAGGTGGAAATAACCCAAGTGTCCAACAATAGATGAATTAATAAACAAAATGCACTATATGCACAGAATGGAATATTCTCAACCTTAAAATAGAAGGAAATTATAATACATGTTACAACATTGATGAAATTTAAAGACATTATACTAAGGGAAAAAAACTAATCACAAAAAAAGGCAATTACTGTATGATTTAAGATATATGAGGTATCCAGACTAGTCAAATGCATAGAAACAAAGTAGAATGATGATCGTCAGGGACTGGTGAAATGGGAAATGGAGAATTACAGTATAAGAAATACAGTTCCAATTTGCAAGATGACAAGTTCTTAGAAATGGGTTGCACAACAATAAGAATATATATATATATTACTGAACTGTACACTTAAGATGGGCCCTGGCTGGTGTGGCTTAGTTGGCTGGGCATCATCTTATGCAACAAAACATTGTTGGTTGATTCCCAGTCAAGGGCTCAATCTCCAGAAGGGGGTGTAAAGGGACATGAAGGAGGCAGCCAATCAATGTTTCTCTCCTTTCTCACTCTCCATTCCTCTCTCTCTCTAAAAGTCAATTAAAATATATTTAAAGTGGTTAAGATGGTAACTGTAGCCCTGGCCAGTTTGGATCAGCGGTTAGAGTGTCGGCCTGAGCTCCAGAGAGACCCGGGTTCGGTTCCCGCTAAGGGCAACTGTTCCTCAGTTGCAGTTTGTCCCCGACCCTGGTTGGGTCGTGCGGGTGGCAGCCACTCGATGTGTCCCTTTTACGTTGATGTTTCTCTCTCTCTTCCTCTCTCTCCCTGAACAAAAAATGAAAAAATGTCCTCGGATGAGGATTAAGAAAAAAAGATGGTAACTTTATATTTTAACACAGTTTAAAATAACAAGCACTACACTAATAACTCCTTATAATACTTAATTTTCTCTCTTTAGTTATTTATACCAATGCTTTCAATAGTGTTTACTGTGCTGTTGCTCTTTTGTGATGGGAAAAATTCTTCCTTCACAGGAAATGGAAGAGTTCGCCCAGAGCTCTGGAGAAAATGGTATTGTGGTGTTCTCCCTGGGGTCAATGGTCAGTAACCTGACAGAAGAAACTGCCAATGTGATTGCATCAGCCCTTGCCCAGATTCCTCAAAAGGTTAGATAAAGAACTTAACAGTAGAAAACTAATGAGTGTGTTGAACTCTGTAAAGGGTCTGATTACAGAAATTTCTACATGAAAGTAAACTATTATGATAGCTCCAATTTATCTCAGCAATTTGAAAAACAAAATACACATGGCAGGTGCTAACGTATACAGAAGGTGTTTCTGATGGACAGTAACTTTAGTAGTAACATTGTGATCACAAAGATGTATATTTACGAGGTACAATGTGAAGTGTGGTATTATAATAGTATTGTAGGCAGGTACAGATATCACCAAATTCTATTCTGTCATTTGCTCCATTTCATTGCAGGATTCCTAGGGTACAGTACACACTACAGGTGTTCTCAGAATGGAATTAAATTTTAACAGTAACATTAAACAGGGAATGATAACAGTCTGAAAGGCACCATACACTTTAGGCTTGCCAGGTAATCCAGGCCTCTCTTACTTTTCCTGAATTTTGGATGAGGCCTATTCAGTGTTTCAAAGTGCTATTCAGAGAAAGGATGTCCAGGGCTCACCAAGCTACGTCCAAGTACCCAAACCAGCCACAGAGTTTAAAAGAAAGAGAAAAACTGGCCTATAGAAAAGAAAGAGAAACCCTTCCTGGTGTGCTGGACCCTGCTGAATTCTGAAGTAGGAAGATATAAAAGAAAGAGTGGAGGAGGGTCCAGCCCTCAAAGTGACCTTGTGTTTTACAAAATGTAGCCCCAGAACAACCCTCAGAATAATAACTTCTCGTGATTGAAGAAGAAGAAAATATATAAATGAGTCAACCAGAAGAAAGCCTAGCATGGGACAGTTTCAGATGCCCTCCTTTCTCCATAAATTGTGATAGTAAATTATTCTAATACATAAAATACACTTGAAGTCTCTGGATATTTGTGAACTACTTTTAGTTTCCTAACTAATGTACCTTTCTCCTTATCACCTATACTAATTTGCTGAGAACGTGAAGTAACTTTAACACTCACATAGCAAATATATGTTACCCATCTATAAACTAGAATTCAGCTTAGTAGTGTACTTAGAAATTGCTTGGCCATTTATAATTAATTAACCCTGTTAAACAATGCCATCAGTGCATTGTAGCACGTTTTGAAGTGTTAATAGTCAGTTAAAATCTACCATCATCATCATATTTGATCTTTTCAACATGTAGAATGTTATTTATGAAGTGATAATGGGCTTACTTTTCTATATTTTAAGAAAATTTTCAGTCCTTGCTGGGTAATAATACTGGTTTTATGTAAAAATTACCACTTGGAGGTGGTGGTTAATTAGAAAACTAAAAAGATGCTAAACATACTCATTAAGCAGAAATTATTTTTTATTATTGACACATTGTTAAATATCAGAATGATTTCATTCTTATTGCTGATTGCATTGATTTTATAAATCAAGTGATGTAATACTCTAATAAAATAATTTATAAAACTAGTGAATATAAGTAAACCACTTCAATAAGAAATAAACAGGTTAACATTAAATCTGGAAGATGAGAGCTAGTATAATAAACAGTTAAAACAAAATAAGTGTATAGATTATTAATAATTTGCTGGATTTAGCACTACAATTATATGACTACCTAAAATTTTGTATATGCTTGAGTTGTCACTGATAATCTCATTTGTCTACCCCTAAGTGTGAAACATCATGATTACATTCATACCTGACTGAAAATAAAAATAGGTACACATAATACAAGTATGTACTGCTCTTACATCAGTATTCTGTTGGTTCTCATCTAACATGTTCTCATTTCTTTATCTGTAATATGTAAGGGATTTAACTTGATGTCTCTTAATTTATTTAGAATTCTAACACAATATAACTCTGTAGTTTGACTCAAAAAATATGGTACTTTCTTTACTCTAACAGGTTATATGGAGATATGGTGGCAAAAAACCAGACACCTTAGGGCCAAATACTCGGCTCTATGAATGGATTCCCCAGAATGACCTTCTTGGTAAGATTCTGGAAAACACTGAAATCAGAGTCAATTCAACCAGAATGATAAACAATTCAATAGGAAAGAAATGTATTGAACATTTGTTTTTGATAACCTCAAAAATAAAAATGAACTTCCTAATATATTTCCCAGTCCTAGGGGAAAAGAATAAGCTGTAACAGTTGGCATCTTAGTTTACACGGTCACATTCCTTATTGCCACAAACAAAATATCTTTATTTCATGTGTAATTACCTGTCACAGAGAATATCTCAACACTTTCCTGATCATCACTCTATCTCCTAATTCTCTCCTTACACCAATTCTTTAACCCACTATAAGGGTGTACAGGTACCCCTGAAAAGTATCAGCTCCTCTTCTATTACCAATGACTCTCCATTTTCCATTGGGAAAATATTCAGAAATCTCCTTTTGAACATATAATAACATATTTCATTATAATGTGTAGCTCTTCCTTCCTCTGATTTCTAGCTCAATGCCATACCATTGCCTACTGCCTTGATATCCTACATATCACACTCAGTGACTTCACTATTTTATTAAGAGAATATATTTCAATATGCCCCAACACTTTTTGCATACCCTTTAAAAATATATATATATATATATATATATATATATATATATATATATATATGTTTTTATTGATTTCAGAGAGAGGAGGAGAGAGGAAGAGATAGAAACATAGATAAAAAAAGAACATCTACTGGCTGCCTCCTGCACTGCCCCTATTGGGGATCAAGCCTGCAACCAGGGTATGTGCCCTGACTGAGAGTCCAACCAGGGACCTCCTGGTGCATGGGGCAACGTTCAAGCAATTGAGCCACACTTGCCAGGCTACACTTTTTTTAATCTAGAGTATTCTCTTTCAGTTTGTCCACTGGCAATTTTTATTCATTTTCAAATCACAAGAAACACACCGATCTTCTATGTAAGCCTTCACTGTCTCTCCAGAAGACCTAGGTGCCTCTTCCTTTGAGTGCTGAAAGACATCACAGTCTGAAGTGTATACCAGTCTGTTACCAGATAAATTGTCTCTGTCAGTGCCTTTATTGTTCAATTCTCATTTTATTCCAAGGCTTGTAATTCATAATTTGATGAATTTCATCCAATCCTAGTCATCCAAAAACCAAAGCCTTTATAACTCATGGTGGAACCAATGGCATCTATGAGGCGATCTACCATGGGATCCCAATGGTGGGAATTCCTCTGTTTGCGGATCAACCTGATAACATTGCTCACATGCAGATCAAGGGAGCAGCTGTCAGACTAGACTTAAACACTATTTCAAGTACAGGTTTGCTCAATGCATTGAAGACAGTCATTAATGACCCTTCGTAAGTATCATATTTTTTAATAGTATTTATAGATAAGTTTTTTGTCAGTGGTGCATATAAATTTCATCTTATTTTTGAAAGGCTAATTTGAGATTATTAACATGATTTAACCCTTCTTAAATCTACTTTTATTTTCAATCAGACATTTATTTCAAAGTTACATTTTAACACCATTGATTTAATAGGTAACCAAATAGTGCAAAAATTTTCTACACACAAAAAAATATAAAGCTATGTAGATAATTACAAAAAGGACACATTTAGAAAAATATGATAGAACCATAGCTGGAAAGAATGATAGACTAGAAGAAATATCATAAATTATATAAATTCACTATGAAAATTTTCTGAAATTACAAATCTCTTTTTTGCTCAACAATTGATTTCATTGTCATTATCATAACAGATTTTATAATATTTATATAATAAAATTTACCTATTTAAAGTATAAAATTCAAATATATAGTTTGTTTACAGAGCTATGAACTATCATGATAGTATAAATTTAGGACATTATTGTCACATCAAAATGAAAATGTCGTGTCTTCACCCCCTCCACCTGTCCAACCTCCACTCAAGCAACAATTAATTAACTTTCTGTCTTTATAGATTAGCCTTTCGGGACATTTCCTACAAATGGAATCATACAATATATGGTCTTTTGCAACTGGTTTCTTTCATGTAGCATAAGGTTTTTAGTTTCTTCCCTGTTGTAGCTTTGTAGTTCTGAATAATATTTTATAGTATGAATATAGCATGTTTTATTTATCCATCTATCAGTTCAGAAACATTTTGGTTGCTTCTGCATTTGGCTATTATGAATACAACATTGTTTTTATGTGAACATCTGTTTTCATTGATTTTTGGGTAGATATCTAAAAGTGGATTCTGAGTCATACGTAACTTTATAACAAACTGCCAAACTAACGTCCAAAGAGATTATACCATTTCATATTCCTATCAGCTATGTATGAGGGTTCCAAGTCTCTACATCACTGTGAATACTTGTTATCATCAGTCTTTTTTCAAAAATGTTATTGAATTTATTGAGTGACATGTGTTAATAAAATTATATAGGTTTAGGTGTACAATCCTATAGTATAGCATCTGTATATTGTACTGTGTGTTTACCACCCAAAGTCAATCACCATTTGTCCCCCCATTTACCCTATTCTACTTTCCCACACTCCCCTTTCCCTCTGGTAATCACCATACTGGTGGGTGTGTGTGTGTGTGTGTGTGTGTGTGTGTGTGTAAAACTTTTTTTGCTTAATACCTTTACCTCTTCATTCAGCCCTTCCCCTAACAGCTCTCAGTGTTTTCTGTATCTACGATTCTGCTTGTTTTTTCGTTTATCTATTTTGTTCACTAGATTCCACATATAAGTGAAATTATATGGTATTTGTCTTTCTCTGACTGGCTTATTTCACTTAGCATAATACTCTCCAGATCCATCCATGCTGTTGCAAAAGCTAAGATTTCCTTCTTTTTTATGGCCAAGTTGTACTCCATTGTGTAAATGTTCCACAGCTTTTTTATCCACTCATCTGATGGGCATTTGGGCTGCTTCTAAATATTGGTTGTTGAAAATAAACATAGGAGTGCATATATTCTTTCCAATCAGTGTTTCAGGTTTCTTCAGATATATTCCCAGAAGTGGAATTGCTGGACCAAAAGGCAGCTCCATTTTTAATTTTTTGAGGTAACTCCATACTGCTTTCCCAAGTGGATGCACCAATCTGTGTTCCCACCAACGGTGCACAAGGGTTCCCTTTCTCCACATTCTTGCCAACACTTGTTGTATATTGATTTATTGATGATAGTCATTCTGACAGGTGTGAAGTGATATCTCATTGTGGTTTTGATTTGCACTTCTCTGATGATTAGTGACTTTGAGCATTTTTTCATATGTCTATTGGCCATCTGTACGTTCTCTTTGGAGAAGTGTTTATGTAGGTTCTGTGCCCATTTTTAAATTATATTGTTTGTTTTCTTGGTATTGAGTTGTATAACTTATTTTTCTTTTTTAATTAATTTATTTATTTTTGTTAACAAATGTTTCTCCTTTCCCCCCGCCCCAGACACCACCCCTCTTTCTATCCCATCCCCCATACCTACCCTACAATGTATAACTTCTTTATAAAGTTTGGACAGTAACTCCTCATCAGATGTATCATTGGTAAATATATTCTCCCATTTAGTGGATTGTATTCTCATTTTGTTGATGGTTTCCTTTGCTGTGAAAAAACTTTTTAGTTTGATGTAGTTCCATTTGTTTATTTTTTTCTATTGTTTCTCTTGCCCAAAGAAAGATATCAAAAAAATATTGCTACAAGAAATGTCCAAGATTTTACTTCCTATGTTTTCTTCTAGGATTTCTAAGGTTTTGAATCTTACATTGAAGTGTTTAATTCATTTTAAGTTTATTCCCATGTGTGGGTAAGAAGGTAGCCTAGTTTCATTTTTTTTGCACACATCTGTCCAATTTTCCTAACACCACTTATTGAATAGATTATATTTATTCAATTGCATGTTTTTGCCTCCTTTATCAAATATCAATTGAGTAAAAAGGTGTGTATTTTGTTCTGGGTTCTCTATTTGGTTCCATTGATCTATATGTCTGTTTTTAAGCCAGTGCCATGTTATCTTGATTACTACAGGCTTGTAGTATAGTTTGCTATCAGGTAGTGTGATTCCTCCAGCTTTGTTTTTCTTTCTCAATATTGCTGTGGCTATCTGGGGTATTTTGTGGTTTCATATAAATTTTTGGAATATTTGTCTTAGTTCTATGAATTCTTTATGGGAATTGTGTTTAATCTAATAATTGCTTTGGGTAGTCTGGATATTTTAATAATATATACTTTTAACCAGGCTCACTGAGAATAAAAGAGAGACCCCAAATTAAAAAATCTGAAATGAAAGAGAAGTAACAACTGACTCCACGGAAATACAAGGAATTGTAATAAAATTTTATGAGCAATTATATATTAAAAAATAAAGGACAATCTGCATGAAATGGATAAATTCCAAGAACATACAGTCATTCAAAACTGAATCAGAAAGAATTAGAGAATCTGAATAGACTAATTACAACTAATGAAATCAAAGTGGTAATTTAAAAAAAAAATTCCAACAAATAAAAGTACTACACTGGATGGCTTCACAGGTAAATTTTACCAAACATTCAAAGAAGAACTAACATTTATCCTTCTCAAACTATTCAAAAAAATTCAAAAGGAGGGAAGATTCCCAAACTCATTTTATGAGGCCAGCATTATCCTAAAACCAAAACCAGACAAGGACACTACAAAGAAAGAAAATTATAAGCCAATATCCCTGATAAACATAGATGTTAATATCCTCAATAAAATATTAGCAAGCTGGATCCAGTAATACATTAAAAAGATCATAAAACATGATCAAGTGAACTTTATTCTGGAGATGCAGGGTTGGCACAATACTCTCAAATCAATGCACCACATAAACAAAATGAAGAATAATAATTACATAATCCTATCAAAAGATGCATAAAAAACATCTGATAAAATTCAGCACCCATTTATGATAAAAAATTCTCAGAAAAATGGGAATAAAAGGAATGTACCTCAACATAATAAAGGCCACATGTGTCAAATCCACAGCCAACATCATACTCACTAGGCAAAACTAAAGGAACTTCCCTTAAGATCAGGAATAACACAGGTATGTCTGCTTTCACTGCTCTTATTCAACATAGTACTGGAAGACCTAGCTGCAGCAACCAGACAAGAAGGAGAAATAAAAAGCATCTAAATTTGTAAAGAAGAAGTAAACTGTCATTATTTGCAGATGATAATATACTGTATATAGAGAATCCTAAAAATTCTACCAAAATACTACTAGATCTAATCAATGAACTCAGTAAAGTAGCAGGATACAAACTAGATACCCAGAAATCAGTTGCATTTTTACATGCATTTTTATAATGATCTTATTCAGAAAACTAAGAAAGCAATCCCATTTACAACTGCATAAAAAAATAAATAAAATATCTAGAAATAAATTTAACCAAGGATGTAAAATACCTTTCTGTGGAAAATTATAACACACCAAAGAAAGAAATTAAAGAAGATAAAAATAATTGAAAGCATATACCATGTTCATGCATAGAAAAAATCACCAATCTTTTTTATCGTACCCATCCTATCAGGTGTGAATCAGTTTCTCTTTGTGGTCTCAATTAGCATTTCTCTTATAGACAAAAATGTTGAACAGCCCTGGCCAGTTTGGCTCAGCGGTTAGAGCATTGGCCTGCGGTCCAGAGAGACCGGGGTTTGGTTCCCGCTAAGGGCAACTTACCTCAGTTGCAGTTTGTCCCTGGCCCTGGTTGGGTCATACAGGTGGCAGCCACTCAGTGTGTCCCTTTTATGTCTAAGTTTCTCTCTCTCCCTCTCTCTTTCTCTCTCTCTCTCTCTCTCTCTCTCTCTCTTTCTCCCTCCCACTTTATCTGAACAAAAAAAAAAAAGAAAAAGAAAAAATGTCCTCGGGTGAGGATAAAAAAAAAATGTTGAACATATTTTCTTGTGCTTTTGGCCATTTATCTATTTTACTTTGAGAAATGTCTATTTGAATACTTCGTCAATTTTTAATTGGGTTATTTGTCTTTACATTATTGAATTGTAATAACTATATACTACAGATAAAAATACCTTATTAAAATTTGATTTGAAAATACTTTCTCCCATTCTAGTTGGTAAATTTTTATTCTCTAACTGGTATTATTTCAAGCAGGAGATGTTTTAATTTTTGATCAAATACATTTTTAATGATTAAATTTTTCATACTACAAAGGAAAATAGCACTGTGAAATTTGTAGTGTCTAGCATAGTGACCATCATTTGATCATTTATTACTACTATCAGCATTATATATAAAAGGGAAACACCTAAGGAATACTTAAAAATGTATTATCAAGAAGAAAACAGTAGTACAATTGAATTAAAAATACTTTTAAGGAGGAA